GACCTGCCGTCAGTTTGACAGCTGACGTCTATCCATTTCACAGAGCCGCTGTCCGGTGTTTGAGTTGGTGCTTGTTAAAAAAAACCTTGGCATATGTTGTATTAGTGACAGCTTAGAGAACAGCTAATTACCATATATGTCTTTTTATATTGGGGTTTCTGAAGAAAACATGAATGTTGAAAAAGGGATTTTTGTATTTTTATATATTATTTACTTTATAAATATATTTTCCCAATGTAACCCTTGCCCCAAGTAACTTGTTCCCCTTACTGGCTAGTATTTTCTTCCCCACATGCTGTCCTCCACTGTTAATACTACAGAAGAACAGTTATGGGTGAATTCAGGTGAACTGGGTTTGCACCAAGCCTCAGCTCGTTACTAGTCATGATCAATACTGGCGAGGCTGTCATTTCTGACTTTCCTTTCTGAATATATCTGTCAATGACTCAGAAAACAATTTAAAAAGTGGAAAGAGCGCTGGACCTGTGTGCTTAATCGGTTTTTATTATCCAATAGTGATTAAGTGATGTGAACATGCGTAATCTAGCTAATGGATAGGCAGCTATCACTGGCCTAAGGGTCTCCACACTATCCCTGGCTTGACAGAGAACATAGTCGATGTAGGCATTGAAGTGCCACACCAATTAAAATAGTCCAGATACTATTCCAGTAAGATCAGGAAACAATTGAGTAGAACAGTCAATGCGTTTCAGGGGTCCAAAACCACCCCCTTCTTCAGGGCTTAGTGAGTGAAATCATGTATGAGGACTACTATCTGTGCAGCTTGAAATTCGTATTAAGCTGTGACGAGAAAGCTTCAAGCTTGTCAGCAGCTGGTTTGGCAGCATCTTGGAATAAAGTTGTATTTGGATTTTTTTAATTGGCGTGTCAGAATATATAGAATATATTTAAGCCAGTGGGCAAGCATAAGAGCTAATCAATTTGTATTCACAGGAGGTCAGCAAAGGCAACCCCTGTATTTTTCCCAGAAAAAATTGGGGTTTTATTGTAGTGAATAATCTGTATCTCACTTTGAATTAAAAAGTCATTTAATAGCTACAACCACTTAAAATTAGGGCTGTTACTGATTAACATTTTCCTGTTCGATTAATCGAAATTATTTTTAATTGATTAATTTCGATTAATTATAACGCACATACAGATCCAACTACATTGGCCTATACACATACAGCACAGCAATGGAGTAATAAAATGAACGAGGATCACACTAATCCAACACATTATTAATCTCACGTGCCCCACTCAATATGGCCGCCGCTTGAGTGGGGCAACTCAGATTAATAACATGCTGGATTAGTGTGATCCTACTTCATTTTATTACTTCATTGCTGTGCTGTATGTGTATAGGCCAATGCCTTGGCTGGCGCTCGTGCTGAAAGTTTAAAAAATGTTTTAATCGATCAAAAAGATTAACGATTAATCGAGAAATTAATCGTTAGTTTGCACAGCCCTACTTAAAATGTAATATTTATATTCTGGGTAGTTGCCTATCTGTTAATACCACATCTGTGCCCGGGGGGGAAGATGGAACATGGTGCTGTGATGTCATCCACCTGGATCTGACACCAAATCTTACTCAGGGTGGACTCTTGCACTGGGGAGGGAGAGTAGATTGGGGAGTATACTTCGATGGGAGGATGGACTATGAGAAGATACCGTCACATGGCCATGAATGGGCAGAGCAGCAATGTCTGTTTAACCCTTTCGCTGCCAAGGACGTATGGCATACGGACCTACAAAAGTGCTTCCAGCTGGCCAGGTCAGTATGCCATACGGACCTGGCATTTACAGTTCTACTATAAGCTGATGGTCGCTTTAGCGACCATCAGCTTATAGTATAACTGTTCAGCAGACTGTCCCCTTTAAATTAATAGCTGTCATCAGCGGCTCAGAAGCATATTGAGGTGTACGCCATGCACATGCGCTGCAGTACTAAAATTCAAAAATGGCTTGGCCAGCTGATTTGAAAAATGTTCCGGAGGGCTTGGCAGCGAAAGGGTTAAACCAAAGAACTGAAACAATAACATTTTACAGTGAGCACTATAAATGCATCATATCACAAATCAGCATTTTTTTTTTTTTTTT